TCAGCAAATAATGTTCACGATCTCTATATATAATTTATTTTTCTCTTGATAGAAATAAAACAACAATTCTCATGATAAATGATATCCATTATGATAAAAAGCTGTAATTATTATGATAAAGAATTCATATCAGATTGAAAGTATTGTAATGATCGTAGACATTAATGAATATGGCATTGATGATGAAGATCAAATTAGCTTAACAACAGTGGTGATGATGAAAGATAATGATGATAGTGATGTTGATGTTAAAGATAATGATAATAAAATTCATGATAGGAATGTTATATATACATAGGATGATGAGACATTGATGGGTATAATGATCATGATAATTGTGATGCTCTTGATACAGAGACGATAACAATACCGGTGATGAAGATAGTGGTGATGGTGATGGTGAGGCTGTCGATACACAGAGGATAGCAATACCGTTGGTGTGATTAATCATAATGTTTTTTCCTTCTTTCTCTTTCTTTTTTTCTTTCTTTCTTTCTATCTTTCTTTCTATCTTTCTTTCTATCTTTCTTCCTTTCTTTCTCTTTCTTTCTTTCTTTTTCTCTTTCCTTCTCTCTTTCTCTCTTTCCTTCTCTCTCTCTCTTCTCTCTCTTCTCTCTCTCTCTCTCTCTTCTCTCTCTCTCTCTCTCTCTCTCTCTCTCTCTCTCTCTCTCTCTCTCTCCTCTCTCTCCTCTCTCTCTCTCTCTCTCTCTCTCTCTCTCTCTCTCTCTCTCTCTCTCTCTCTCTCTCTCTCTCTCTTCTCTCTTTTCTTTCTTTCTTTCTCTTTCTTCCTCTCTCTTTCTTTCTGTCTTTCTTTCTTCCTCTCATTCTTTCCTTCTTTCTCTCATTCTTTCCTTCCTTCTCTCTCTCCTTCTTTCTCTATTTCTTTCTATTTCTTTCTTTCTTTACGCTGACGAAGCCAGTGCAAATAGCGCCAGAACCCAGAAGCGACGCCGGCGAGCGCTAACGGCGTGGCCTCCTCGTCTCCCGCAGGTGCTGGTGTGCCTGACCTGCCTGACCCTGGGCGCCCTCCTCGGCTACCACGTGGGCGCGGCGGAGGGGCGGCGCCGGGAGTTCGTCCTGGAGGAGGCGGCGAAGGAGGAGGAGGAGCAGGGGGCGCCGGCGGCGGGGGTCCTGCCCGCCGAGGGGGAGGAGGTCGAGGGGGAGGTCGAGGTCGAGGACGAGGACGAGGAGGAAAGCGCCTTGGCCTCGGCCCTCCTGAGGGAGCTCAAGCCCGAGATGATCAAGGGGTATATGAGGTGAGGTCCGGGGGAGAGGGGGGAGGGAGGGAGGGGCGGGGAGAGGGGACAGAGAGGGGAGAGGGGGGAGGGAGGATAGGGGGAAGGAGGTAGGGGAGAGGGGGGAAGAGGGAGGAGGGGAGATGGGGTGGGGGAAGGAGGGAGGGGAAGGGGAGGGTGGGTCAGGGGAAGGAGGAGGAGGGAGATATGAGGATTTAGTTATTTATTTATATTTTAATCTTTCTATTTTTCCCTCCCTCTTCCCTCCTGCAAACAATTATTTTAATCATTTTATTTATCTATTTATATTTTTAATCTCTATTTTTCTCTCCCTCTTCCCTCGTGCAAATGATTATTTTAATCATTTTATTTATCTATTTATATTTTTAATCTCTATTTTTCTCTCCCTCTTCCCTCGTGCAAATGATTATTTTAATCAATTTATTTAGTTATTTATTTATATTTTTAATCTTTCCTTTTTTCCCTCCTGCAGACAATAATTTTAATCATTTTATTTAGTTATTCATTTATATTTTTATAATCTTTCTATTTTTCCCTCCCTCCTGCAAACAATTATTTTAATCATTTTATTTAGTTATTTATTTATATTTTTTAATCTTTCTAATTTTCCCTTGTGCTGAAAATTATTTTAATCATTTTTATTCAGTTATTTATTTATATTTTAATCTTTCTAATTTTCCCTCGTGCAGAAAATTATTTTAATCATTTTCATTTAGTTATTTATTTATATTTTTTAATCTTTCTATTTTTCCATCCCTAGTTATTTATTAGTATTTTAATAATTCTATTTTTCTCTCCCTCTTCCCTCCTGTAGACAATTATTTTAATTATTTTTATTCATTTATTTATTTATATTTTCAATCTTTCTATTTTCCCTCGTGCAGAAAATTATTTTAATCATTTTTATTCATTTATTTATTTATATTTTTTAAATCTTTCTATTTTCCCTCGTGCAGACAATTATTTTATTATTTTTTTAATCATTTATTTATTATTATTTATATTTTAATCTCCTTTTTCCTCTCCGTCTCCCCTCCTGCAGACAGCTCCAGCAGACGCCGAAGACGCTGCTGGCGGACTACCTGGAGAGCACGTGGAAGGCGCAGGGACTCCAGACCTCCGCCACCTCCTTCACCGTCAACCTGTCGAAGCCGGATCCGTGAGTCGTTGTGTGTGTTGTGGGGGGGGGGGTGAGGGGGGAGGGGTGTGGGTGTGTATGTGGGGGTGTGGGGTGGGTGGGTGGG